TATAAGTTTTTTCATCATAAGCCGCCCATACGAATGGGTATTGAAATAAAACCTTGAAACTGTCACTGTTAAGGTTATTAGTGCGGATTCGTATTATACACGTGCTTTTCACTTATGTTTAGGATTTTCGAAGGTCTTTAACTAAATTGTAGTTTATGTAAAAAAATATAAAAAACTAGTTACATTACATACATTTAAATACATACGAGTATGTGGAATAGAAGTGAATAAAGACATTTTGTATAATTGATAACGTAATCATATATTAAATGAAACAAACAAATTGAAAAAAAGGTGCAATATGATCAGGTATATATTTTCTTAGCATTTTTATACAGGCTAAACCAGATTATAAACAATTAGAAGACTAAAATAACCTGGGCACTTCATTGTATATTTCATATATTTTCTTTCAGTACATTAATTTTTTAATCGGCTTTCTATTTTCATTTATATTTTAGCAGAAGATTTTTTGTTACAATCTTTAAACAACTGAAATTACTCATAAATCGAATTATTATTTATTTGTATAATTGAAAATATACTGGTCTTTAACAAACCAGTCGATTTGTTTAGCAAAACACGCAAGCTATTCTTTATCTAATTAATTACCAATTTTATTCCGTTTTGTTGACATATTTTTTATTACATCCTACCTTCAACCAAAGCTCGGTTATTTTCCACTACAATCCGGCGCCACTGATGTATGTTTAAGAGTGCGATAATCAAGTATTTATATAAGATTTAGTCCGGTACAAACACTTATAAATGTTTGACAACCTTTTAACATCATAGTAATGTTATTATATGACTCGTTTAAAAATAAGTATATCTTTCCTCTATCATGTTAATTAAAAAAATCAATATTCTTGACAGTTCTTTCTTTTAAATGCATCTTAACCTATCTGAAACATAGTCGTTATATAAGTAATATTATTGAAGTTCACTTTGCTAAAAGTCAATATTTGCTTGCGACAAACCTAATTATTATTCAAAATGCTTACTACGACTGTTTAACGGAGCTATAAATTTAAAGTCAAAATATCGGGTAGATAGTGAATCTCAACCAGTATAATGTTAAACAATTTAATGTATTTACTTTTTATAAATTCTCAACATTTAAATCATAAAACTAGTACAAAAGTCTCAGAAGCTTGAAATGTGTAAAAATGCTGTGACTGTGGTTAAAAAAAATACTCCGTTAAACTACTCGAAAAATTTCCATTTTAAAATGTTTCGTAATTGATTAAATCGTGTTGTGTGTTTACTTTATCTAAGAGGAATAGTTATCATGAAAAGTTTTTCTACTCGTTCTCTATTTTCAAATTAAGGCTTTCTGTGATATAAGTCACTAGTTATTCCAATATCCGTAAACTATCAGAAAAACTATGAACTTAACAACGAGGGTATTCTTATTACATAAGTTGAAATTTAAAGAAAAAATCTTTTGGAATATTAACAAATAAAAATCTGTCTATGGACGATAATTTAAAATAATATTGTTTTGACAGAAATATAAAATAACTTTATAATTTTTTAGTACATGATTTTATAATTTTTAATCTCAAACATCAATTATTTGTGTATATATCTGGTATTGAATTATATTATCCAAAATGTCCAAATATATTTTATCTTATCACGAAGATCTCTCGATCTTGTAAAGATGACTTAACACTTGAATACATACTTCATATAAAAATATATATCTACATATTCCTTACCAAGAATATGGGACATATTATATTATACTTTAGAAATATACATAATGAAATATTATTTGCTCTCAACTCATAGTTCCATTTCAATAGAGAGCCAACTTAAGATTAAAGAAGAAAATTTTAATTAAATCATAGAACATAAAAAATAATGCAAGAGCAAATACCAAAATACAAAGTTATTTCTATAAATTCTAAATACATATGTAGAAAAGATTAGTCTAGATTTTATTATTACGTCATCAAGATTTTTGTTGGATTTACAAAAATATAAAGGCGTGTTAACAAGAACACAAAATAAAACGAAACGTTTAAGAATCAACCTCTGAGTCATACCAATACCCTGTTCCTTTATAAATATCAATTACAAAAGAACAATATACAATAATTTAACAAATAAAAAATCTATAACGAGCAATTCATGTGTCCTATATATAGCCATGAAAATATTCTATGAATGGAATAGAAGTTTGGAATTCATTCTGCATTTCAATTGTGATTTATATTCTATTGGAAACGAGAAAACATTGATTTTAATGTTACATTGTTAAAAAACATAAAATTACTTAGATCTAACTCAAATGTTATCCCGTTAGCTACTGTACAAAGTCTTTTTTTATTGAATTTCTTACACTCTTTATAATAGAATAAAAGTAAATAATAAAATACACTACTGAATAAATAAAAAGATATCCTGCACAACAATTCATATATACGAACCCCTTTAATACAAATGTAATAAATAAATCGCTCTATAAATAGTAAAGTGATATACAGAAGCTTATTGACATTTGGCTAGATGAAGTGATTGAGTGGCCAGTATCCGTATGAATTTAATTGAGAAATTTGCATGCTGGAGGCAGGAAACAGGTCGTTACTGGTACAGTCGGCTGCACAATTGAGGTCGGAGGGGATTCTCTTTGTAGTATATCTACTGAATACCTCAATGTTTATTTTCGATCCTGATTTTGAAACATCTTACTATTTGTTCTATACACTTTATTAAATATAATTTAATGTCAAGTGATTATTTTTTATTCTATGTGGTATATTCCTTGATAAAAATGTATGAATGACTCAATTTGCTACTGAAAAATGAAATTTTCCTGAACTAAACCCCTTATCTATCTTTTAAAGAAGTAATATTTAAAACGTACCGCCATAGTCAATCACTTGTAAAATTTATTCTATTAGTTAAATTTACTTTAATGGTTTAAATGTGCCAAAATCATTTTGATTTACATCGTCTATTCTCAAACCCATGCATAAAAAACACTTTGCTCCATTTAAACTTTTGGAACATTACAGTAACGCCTTATTATAAACGAAAAGCGAGCTATTTCCAGTAAACGCTAGTTTTTCCTTCAATTTATTGTTTAAATTATGGTGTTTGTTATAATCAAGTATGTTAACATTCATTTACATTCTATAACATTTACCCAGTTACTACCTCTGTATTCCTCATATTATTTTACAATCGTTATATAATCTTCTACAAACTGAAGTGTTTTGTTTTGCAATTCCTTAAAGGTGTGTTTCTCTAACGAATTCCTTCATATCCTAATAATAATTACATATCGATTAAGTTTCAAACTTATGCAGTAGATACCCAACTTAATTCATCAATGTCGTTGCAAACTATTTAATTGTAGTATAAGTAATATTGTATGAAAAATATATGTCATCTATGAAGTTTGTATATTATATAAAAACAATATTTTTAATATAAAGAAACCCGATCACCAGATACGTCATTCTTCGTTCAATAACCTTACAAAACAAGCAAAATCTTGTTTAAACGTATTTTAAAACTTTAACAAAACAAAAGAGTTATAAATATGCTAATACATGTTGTATTTAAGTCTGAAATAGTGAATGAGACATAACCGTAGAAGAAAACCTACTCTAAACCGTGTTACAATAAAGATTTCAAACTAATTTATCCGTCAAATGTATACCACAATTTACATTACACATGAAACAAGTCAACGTGACTTCTCAGGAGATAAATACAAAATTAGGCGTAGGTAAATTACTTAAATACTAATTTTGTATATAATTATTTATCATTTTTTAAATATAAGATAGAAGTAAAAAATTATTTATAAGAAAAAATTTAACTACGGTATTTTAACTTATATTAAAACGTAATGACCAAAAAAAGGAACATTTTACGATCACCTTATTTTATAACTCAAAATTTATTCTTACTATAGGTATTTATTATTTATTAAAATTACCAAAACTAAGAACTTTAACGACGGCTTCATAAAAAACATATTTATATAAATTTGTTGACCACTCAATAATAGATATATTCTAAGAGCTAGCAACGTTTTTGAACAAGCATTTCAGGTAGGCTAGTTTTTAGATATGCTATCTCTCACACTCCCCTGGACGTCCTACGGGCTATCTGGCTGCCGGTAGTGGTTGCGTTCATCAGTGCGCATCGTACTTGTGGAGGTAAAAAATTAATATATCAAATCATTTTAAGAAGGTTTTTATTATTATTATTATTATTATTGAACTATTCACAACATAAATTTATTATTGCCAGGTATTTTTATTGTTGTTTAAACGGTGCCAAGCGGCAATTTTGAATTAAAAATTTTTCTTTTTTCAAACTATTTTAGTATAGCTGAAATTTTAATAGCATGATATTTAACTATCTAAAAGCTCAGAATTAATTTGCCAGGCAAAAAATCGGTTGTTAAACCTTTTTCTAGACCGAAATAAAGACGACAGCAGCTGCTTGTAGTCAAGAATCTTGACTCAAGATGACGTTATTTGTAAGAGTTTTATGAAAACTTTGTTACAATGGCTAATGAAAAATTAATAAAATGTGTCTTTTGTAAAGATACAACTGGAAAAATAATAACTTTTGTAGAAGAAAAATTAAAAAAGTGTAAAGAAGTTTTACAAATACGTGTAAATTTCAAACTTAAGTATAACAGTGTTCAATTACCGGAGCAAATTAATGACACTGATGGATACCATAGAAATTGTTACAACAGTTTTACAGCTCTTATGGCGAAATATCGTAATTTATCTGAAATTAATTTCTCGTCAACAGTGGACCTTCCCAGCATATCCATTTCAGCTTCGACATCAAATACATCTCCCTGGCATGGTAATCGAAATACCCACCAGATCATTTTTAATCACATTGTATCATTGATAGAAGAAGACGTTATCAATAATAAAAATTGTTTGCTATTATCTCATCTTTGTGATACATATAATGATGAATTAAAGCTTCAATCTCAGTCAGATGTAAACTTAATGACCAATAATTATCTTGAAAACAAAATATTGAAACAATTTAAAAAATCAATCAAAATTATTTCAAAAAATAAAAAAAAAGTTGTCATGCATAAAGATTGTAGTTTATTGGAACATAATGATTTGAGGAGACTGGAGGAAAATCAGGTTATTGAAATAGTAGCATTAGTCTTGCGAAACACCATTTTAAAAATGGACAAATCAAAATTTCCACCAAAAATCAAGAAATGTTTTGGAGAAATGCTTATTTAAAATACCCAACATCTCTATCACCTCAAGCTTCTGGCTGGACCATTAATGATGATAAATATGATTTTATCTGGTTCGTTGGGGAGCAATTACCAACATTAGTTGCCGATATTATTATTAAAGGTAAAAATTTTAACTAAAATACAAAAATAAAATATTTCTCGAAAGAAATTAAAATTTTTGATTCTATTACAGATAACAGCTTATTACAAAATGATAATAATTTTAAGGACGATGATGATAATGGAAATGACAGCAGTGATGAAGATGATGATCTTTTTCAAACTTAACATTGATCATTATCTCAATTTTGTATTCATCTATAAATAAATTCAATAGTTTTTAATCCTTCTTCCATTATTTATTAGACGATTAATTTTCTAGACCAAGCTAAATGATACTACATCACTTTACACTTTATTTCGATCTGGCAAAAGTTTAACAACCAATTTTTTGCCTGGCAAATTAATTCTGAGCTTTTAGATAGTTAAATATCATGCTATTAAAATTTCAGCTATACTAAAATAGTTTGAAAAAAAAAAATTTAATTCAAAATTGCCGCTTGGCACCGTTTAAACAACAATAAAAATACCTGGCAATAATAAATTTATGTTGTGAATAGTTCAATAATAATAATAATAAATAAAAAAACCTTCTTAAAATGATTTGATATATTAATTTTTTACCTCCACAAGTACGATGCGCACTGATGAACGCAACCACTAACGGCAGCCAGATAGCCCGTAGGACGTCCAGGGGAGTGTGAGAGATAGCATATCTAAAAACTAGCCTACCTGAAATGCTTGTTTTTTTGACGTTGCTAGCTCTCGTACCAATATGTCATGTACAGTAAAATATTTTTTCTTCTGTAGTAAATAACGTGGTCTTGATTTGTATTAAAAAATCACGTTCATTTTCCATTAGCGAGCGATTGCTAATCATTGCTATGAGTGAAAACATTAAACACACAAAAATATCATATTGGATTCTCAGAATTTTCTTATTTTCAATCCTTTATTTACGTTTTTACAAATAACATAATTAATGTTAAATGTTTTATTCATGATCCCCGGAACTAATTTTATTTGGGATTTTTTTTTTATAATAAACAAAATTTATATTTAATATGCTTTTTTAAATCTCGCTACGATTTTTTTTCTTCTATTACTTTTTAATAAACATTGATTTAAAAAGTCGAACATCTTATTTAGTTACATAAGATATAATTTTAAGTTCGGGCATCGACATTATCCGCTGTGTAAATGACACTTAGAATATTTTTACTGGTAACGGTTTATATATTGTTGGATCATCTCTTCCTCACATACGGCAAATTCATTGTTATTTTATTTATAGGTATATATTTATTTTAAATTTTTGGGTTCCTTGGCCGGTGCTTATAATGTTAAGGATGAGAATGTTATTAATTCTTATGGTAAGAGTTCTCTTACTCTAATGCTAAAAAAAAATTCGTTTCAAAGTAGACAATAAATCACTGTTATGTATATTATGTTCTTTTATTGTTTGTTTATATACATATGTGATTAGTTTATATCACAAGTTTTCACGTGTCCATTGTCCATTTTCCTTTCAGGAAGCGGAAGAATGGGCTCGGCGACAGAGCGGCCCCATGGTCAACCCTTCCTTCGAGCCCGACGACTTCCTGCCCCAAAGGTATTTTCCCATTAGGCCATTACTAAAATGTATTAATTCTCCATTTACTGGTTTAAGCTCCTAGATAAAAAATATTTTATATGTAGTACTACAAAATGTTTCCAATTTAAATAAAAAAACATTAATATGTAACATCATTTTTTTTAAATAAATGTTAAACTTAGTAAAAAACCCTTCAGTACATTTTTTGTATTCTTATTTATTTAGGTCATTGCACTGCTATTTATCAAATTGAAATTTTATGAAAATATTTGTATATAGTCGTGACCTAGATACATTAACATAAATAATGTTTTACTACTGTTTAGATGAATCTTTCACTTCATACCTTAATGAAATGAGTAACATTTTGCAATAAATAATTGATATACGTTTTTATTTATATCCCATATTCTATGAAAATATATCCGCACCAAGTACAAAAATTTAAATAGAAAATATGAGTATATTTTCTGCAAAAACAAACAGTTAATCAAAAGCGGGGGTTGTTTGTTATATTAGCGTTTCTAGGTATTACAGTTTGTTCATTTAAAATGCAACCTTGACTCGCGTTGAAATTCAAATCGTAAATCAATAAACAACCACCGTCTCTTAGCAATCGCAAAGCATGGCAGAGTAAGTCAGTAGCTTGCACTTGCTAACTAAACAAAAGTTAGGCATATTTTACGCATTATAATAAAAGTAACGTAATGTAAAAGTTAAAAAATGCAAAGTGAATTGATTTTTTTGGTGCTAAAGCTATTTGTTGATAATTAATATTATTAATATTTAATCACTGTTACGTTTTTGTAGTTTCTTGAAAATAATAAAGACTGTGTCTTTCAGTTTATCACCGGTCAAAGATGAGAAAAAAAGGCCAGGAGATAAAGGAATATTCCTTGTTAATATGAAAGAAAAAAATCTTCAAGAAGTTGAAGAATATGAACCCTATGATAACAGAGTCGTAGATCATCCTACAACGTAAGTAATTTATAAATCTAAAACCATTCATGAACAAAAACGCAAATATATTTTCAAATGTTATTCGATATTTATCCACATATTTAATTTTTCGCGTTAAAAGTTATATACATTTTATAGACATATATGGTGTATGGTTACAATAAATGTAATATAATCATAATATGAATCACAGCTAAAGATTCAGGCTATTCGTCCTTCTACCTTTTCCTCTTGATTTCCTCAACTATCCATATTTTAGCTCAGCGAGGTCCTTCCTATTTGAAGCGATTATGAGAACTATGTTTCTTTTTCAATGCCCATAGCTTTAAAACATGTAAATTATTAGGTCTTCAACATGATGTATTAATGATTACCATAATTTATATACAGTATTACCCGCGTAAAATGTGCTATATGTGATTCTTAATAACGTTTATAATGTCCTTTATATGAGTAGAAAAAAAATGCGTCACACGTAATACGACGGAGTACTCACGTAGTCTTAATCTGCATGTTTTATGTAACCACAATTCGTATTCCCCAAAATAATGGAAAACCAAAGCAAGAACTCTGTGCAGTTAGAACCAAATTTAGTATTCTGATCAGATCATTGACAAAAACATGCCATTTTCCTGTATGCAGGATCGGAAGGCCAGTAAGAATATAAAACGATAGAAGAAGGAAAGCTTACTATAAAAATAGCCCCTTATACGTACATGTAATTATCAAATGAATAATTTAAATTGATTAATTATCTAATATTCAGCATCTTTTAATTTTTTCAATAGTAAATATTTTTAAATTTTAGTAAAAAATTCAAAGATTCAAGACTTTTATTACTGGATGTACTGCACCCAGAAGAATGACTTTAACCGACTGCTTACATCCAGGTTCTCAAAGCGTGACTTAACCGTAAATGTTTGTGAAAAACAAATCAAATTTGTTCCGAGTTTTTGTATCAAAATATATCAATACATATAATTTCTGGATCGATAAGAGAACTCATAATCATTTTTCTACAAACGTGAATATGATTTAATATAACATTAAAATATAATTTTCTTAAAAAATGTGATTATCCTTTATTTTAACGTTTTGAATTTATATCACCGAAAATAATTAACGGATATCTGGGTTTTTAATTGTCTTATGATATTTTTCGACCGGGAAAAACCATTTTATATACAACCTAACTGTTATCATAAGAAATATTCAATTCTAACCTAAACTATACATTTCAGCAATAAGATATGAGGAGCAAATGTATCGCTATCTGAAATATAAGATATTGCGGCAATGATTAGCTTATATAAGATCTAGTATGTCGTAATGGAAAAAGAGTAAAAATTTAGAGTATAATTAAGTCCTTTGCTTTCTTGAATATGGAAAATATTTTACAATTTCATATGAACCAGATTGCATTACGTAAAACTTATAACTCATAACTATATATCTTTTTTAGAAACACAGAAACCCTCCTCCATCTGCTGAAAGGCAGCTTAGGGACGGGTATTCTAGCGATGCCGCACGCATTTGCTAAATCTGGCTATGTTGTCGGAACGATTGGTACTTTCGTTATCGGTGTACTGTGCACGTACTGTATCCACGTGTTGATGGACTCCTGTTACGCACTGTGCAAGCGGCGGAAGGTCCCATCTCTTACTTACACCGCCGCAGCTGAAGCAGCGCTCTTAGAGGGACCTGATTGGTGTAAAGTATGTGCCCCATATGCTGCGTAAGTAGTCCAATACAAATATACAATATGATAAAATTATTGAAGTTAAAAGGATGATATTTGTAAAACTTTTTCTTTTTACGAATTGGCTAATTCTGATATCAATAGTAAATTATATTATTTGAATAATTTATACAGGTTACCTTAATCGTCTGCGTAAGAAAAGTCCTTTGAATGTAAATGTTGCTAATTGTGGATTAGATCTTAAAAAACAACTTGATTCTTTAATTACTACAAAACAATAGAATATAAATTTGTATCAACTATTCTGTTTACAATTGTTGTAATACCTATCAATACTCAATCAGTTATAAGTACCTATATTTATTTTCAGGCACGTCGTAAATGCATTTCTCCTCATCTATCAGATCGGCACATGTTGTGTGTACGTAGTGTTTGTATCAGAAAATATTCAATATGTTATGACAAATCAATTCGGTATAAGCGTGACCGTTTTTGAAGTAATGTTATGGATACTCATTCCCCTGATTCTTATAAATTGGGTTCGAGATTTGAAATACCTGGCACCGTTCTCAGCCATTGCAAATGCAGTCACGATAGTAAGCTTTGGCATTATTTTGTACTACATATTCAGAGAAACACCTACTATAGAAGGAAAGGTTCCCGCCGGAAAAATAAGTGACTTTCCTCTATTTTTTGGCACTGTTTTGTTTGCATTGGAAGCCATTGGTGTGGTAAGTTTTAAATGAAAACTTAGATTGTTAAAAATAAATATATATATATTTTTAATCTAATATGTCATAAAAATGCTTTTTAGATACTTCCTCTGGAGAATGAAATGAAGACTCCTAAAGATTTTGTTGGAAAATTTGGTGTTCTGAATCGAGCCATGATCAGTATTATAATTCTCTATGTAGGAATGGGTATGTTCGGTTACTTACAGTACGGTAACGAAGCTGCAGGCAGCATTACTCTAAACCTGCCTTCTAAAACTGAAGTGTAAGTTATACCTTCTACCATTCGTATATTGCAATATAATCAGTAAAACGAATTATTTTAATTGATATTTTTTATTACATTTCAGGTTGGCGAGTGTGGTACAATGTTTATTAGCATTTGCAATCTTTATAACGCACGGCCTAGCTTGTTACGTTGCCATCGATATTCTTTGGAACGAGTACATCGGCAACCTTCTTCTGAATAGCTCACGTCGTTTCATCTGGGAATACATTCTGAGGACTGTCATTGTATTAGTCACATGTAAGTTTGCTAATATATTTGAGATTTAAGTGGCCACTGGCATAATGTTTAGGAGATATTTTTATAATTCATATTATTATAAATATCTATGTTTACAGTTGGTATAGCGGCTGCAGTTCCTGAACTGGATCTATTCATTTCGCTGTTTGGTGCCCTCTGCCTCTCCGCCCTTGGTTTAGCCTTTCCTGCGCTCATCCAAACCTGCACCTACTGGTACTACGTATCGGACTCTGAAAGGATTCGTATGATCATAAAAAATTCCATAGTAGTAGTTTTTGGAGCTCTCGGACTAGTTGTCGGAACTTGGACATCACTAGAGGGTATTATCAATAAATTTTCCGCACATGCCCCAGTATTAAATGCCACAGACAGCATCCTCAATGAAACTAGTTTGCTTCCGTAAAGTTTTAATATGTTAAGTGTCAGTGCCATTATTATAGATATAGAACCGTCCGTGGCATATAGAAGTGCAATAGAAACGTAACGCAGGAACGAAATTTCTGCGAATTCGGACATATAAGTTAGTTTTAGAACAAGTAGTATGTAAAGACGCCTAACAAGTTAATTTGTGTGAAATATGTAATATATTCTGTAAATATTTCAATAATATTAATTTTCTCCAAAATTTAAGTAATAACGTAGTATAGTGCGTTTGATTTAAGCTGAGCTTTGCATTTGTGTGAGTGCACACGGATAGTGTAGATGTGATGTCAAAATTTTGAATTCACGTTCTTTTATAGTTTTGAACCGGTTTTTCTTTTGTATTGGTAGCAAAATACAATGTTGAAAACGCAATTTCAAGTGAATTCTTATTCACATTCTTATTCTTATTTGTACATTTTTTCCAAATTTTTATTAACCTAAATTTTTTTCCCATAATTTTCATAACATTTCCATTTGGCATTTTACAAGTTTTGCTTATTTTATAGCACCTATATTATGTATCTATTTAAAATATAATATAATTTTATTCTAAAAGTTTTTTGTCTAATACTACTTTTACTTTCACTCACACAAATGCAAAGCTCAGCTTAAGTCTAACGGACTATATTCACATTATTCTGAGCGTAGGCTTAACGGTACCCATTGACATTTACAATTTTGCAGTCTTAGACCGAGGTATAGAAATCAATAATTTATTATATATTGTTTTAAAGTTTTAAATATTTTGTAAGCAATAATGAATTAGAATATCTCGATTCGTTAAATTTTTTTTGATATATAATTAATAATTGAACCCGATGGGACTTGTGCTATTATAAATGACGTATTACTTAGATATATTATGACACAAAAATGTCATTTTAAATGCAATAGAGTGTAAATATATATATTTGAATCGATGTTTTATACATACATTGACCTGTGAAATGCTTTACCTCGCAGTGAACAAATGTTAGGTATTATGTTTTAGTGAATAAACAAATATTATTAAAAGTGGACTGTGAGAAGTGTTGTAGTATTACTGACAGTAAGAATTCTGATGTCAACTGAAATAATAGAATAGCATTTTCATGGAATAAGTCATACAAAGAAAGAATATTAATTTAAAAATTTGGAATGTTAGCGTACCTATTGTGACCTCGCAAAATTTGTTACCGATACAATTTTTATTTATTCATGTGGCCGGATGAATAAATAGCAAAGTCAAAAAAGATTCCTATACGTCATTTTTATTTTATATTAGTGTATTTACCTTGTTATGTTCTTTTATTAAGATAATATTTATTGCATGGATATTTATGAATTTTAACAGGTTGTCCGGTCGTATTTATAATCTGTGATGTTAATAGTTATATAATATTTATTAGTTCTATTATGATTATGTTATGGTATATGATGTGTTTACACGTCAGTGATATTGTGCTCAGAGCCATTTGGGGTTGAATCCCGGTTAAATAAATATTAATATATTAAATGCATTTTTATTTTAACCCATTGGATTGAAATTATATAGATGCTTTTAATTGCGTGAGTCAAACCTTCAAAGCCCTTAGACAGTCTAAGTTAGACTAGACCTTATTACGACGAAAATTAGATGAGACACGAGGAATTAAGTTCAATTCTTGTACTACTGCTACGTTAGGATAGACTTTTAGTCAGACGTACTTGCAACCGCTTTAGGTATTTTCGTATAAAGTGACCACCGTTATGAATTCAGGTATGGTTATTATTTAAAAAGATGAGTAGATATATGAGTCATAACTAAGGCGGCCAACTTTCCGAAAACTGAATGCGGGACGACTTAACCTTTCGTGAATGGCGGGGGGGGGGGGAGTGTTAGGGATTGGGAATGTCATAAAAATCTTCGCAACTGCCCATATTAAATTTAAGTACTCTCTTACGCGTCATGAGTTCAGAAGAAAGAAAGAAAACGAAATTAGCGCGGGCGCGATACGCTTGTCCCTATTATAGGTAATCTGTGTTCCTGCACTGTTGACCGTGGTATGGGTGTTGTGTAGTGTGGAAGAAAAATAGGGATGCGGGACGCATACAACGTTTTGCGAGACTATTTTACTAATAATTTCAAAGCGGGATTTCGTCTAGAATTGCGGGACGGTTGGCCGCCTTAGTCATAACACATATTTTCTCTAAATATTATCTCTAATAGATTTTTGGGATAGTAAAATGCATATTAACATTATGTAATGACCCAACTTTTCGTCCCTAATAATTATTACCAGAATTTTTACATGGTGTCATATCAAATGATTGTAAGTAGATTGCATGAAGAAAATGAAAAACAAATTATTTATTATTAAACCAACATTACATTGCATTTCCAACACAAAGTGTAATTAAAAATAAATTGTTAATGATAATCATATTATTACATAGATATTACAAACATTTTAAAAATTTGGAGAACATTTTAAAAATTAAATGTTGAAATTATAAGTGTTATTTCTTATGTATTATGTAATCGTATTAAAATAAGTCTCTGACAAGCTAACAATATTTTTGGAAATCATTTTAAAATACATAGTAAAATCATTAAAAATTAAAATTACACTTATCATACTTAATTTATATGAAATTTTATAGCATTAATACTAGTAATTTTATTCCTTAACTAAAAACGTTGCATCATTATCATAAAAACATTATAATTTTTTTTATAAAAGAAAACATAACTATTAGAAGTAAAAAACATGATTATTAAAAATGAATAGTATTAATAAACCGAAATTATGAGTATATCGGCTGTATGGTCGAGTTAACATTATATTACGGAACATACGGATTTTTTTAATTTAAGCTACTTGTTTTGATAGAATGTTAAAATTTCGTGGGTAAATGTTATCCCATAGTAAAGGTTTATTCATATCTAGAATTAAGTAAGCCTTAATATTTAGACAATTTTGCAGTCTTAGAAAGAGACAGATTTGTAACAAGAGGTCTGTTCATAATAATAAAATAAGTAATACTATATTTAAACACAGTTTAGTTTAAACACAATTTAAAAAAAAAATCTTATATTAACAATACCCGTTTTCGTGTCTTTGTAAAAACTTTCCATTAAGTTTGCTTAGAATACATTGTAAGTAACCAAGGCAGAAAAATTGTGTTAAAAATTAACTTATATTTAAAATTGTTTGTTAGGACGCTTAATTTAAAATATAAAGATTATATGAAATTCTACTTAAGACCTTTGGATAGTTCATTATTTGTACCAACAATTTAAGGTGCATTATAGTTCACATCAACAGCGACGTACTCTGAGGTGAAAGTAGTACTTCTTTGGGATCAATATTTACTATGCTGTTTCTTTCAAGGCTATCTGCAATGCTATAAAGATGTACAAGTTGTTTTTTTCTCATCAAGTCTAGAACTACTCGTATAGTTTTTTCTCTCTAAAAAGTATTATTTCCTTAAAAAATATATCTTAATTATTTCTTGCCGACATCATATCCTTTTAGTATGGTCTGCAAGGCTTTCTTTAGTTGTTCGTTCACTTGGACTTCCATTTTAGCGAGACTTTGTCTGCAACATGGGCAGCTCTGGGATTCCGACGACTTGAACGCTAGCTTCAGACAGCCCTGAAAGTAAAATTTTAGTATGTCCTACAAAATAATATATACATGTCTAAGAAAAGAAATAAATCATATCAATTCATTGCTTTGTGTTTCGTTTTCGGTGGAAACTTTTATTTAGTTTAAAAGTCCAGTACTGTGCCCAAAATAGAATTTAATGTCTTTCATCTTTATGTTTAAGAAGAGGTTATCGTTATTTAGAAGCATATTTTATTATAAAATCACATAAGTCTAACGAGTATCTATGAAAGAAAATATTATTTTTTAAAAATTTGATATAAGTAATGTGTTCTTTAATAAATTTAAGTGCCAAATTATATATTTAAATTTTAACTTACAATACAAAAGTTATGAGAGCATGGTGTAGTGACCGGGTTTACAGCAACATCCTGACAGATGATGCAAAGGAACACTTGAGTCACATGCTCTATGAATTCCTGAAATTTACAGTGAAATACAAAGTTAGTCACTACAAAATGTAAAAATGTTTAGTCGTAATATTTTATGAGTATTAATTAACCTTCTTTCCTTGCTTCTCACAGACATCTAAACATTCGCCCCACAGTTTTGTATTGAGTGTGTCAGCTAACACACTGTCTTTCTCCTCAGCACTAAGAGGTTCTTCTGCTTTATCTTTTTTGTTCTTTGGACTTTTCGTAAATATGCTCGGTATTACAGATTTTCTATTCTTTTGTTTAGCGTTCGTGTCTGTATCAGAACAAGTAGCATTATTGATACAGTTAAGTAATGGAAGTGAAACAATGAATGAAGACAGTTAGGAATTAAATTTAAATTATATACCTTTGCTTGTTAATTTTTCTATTTCAGATGATGACTCACTGCTATCTGACAAACATTGTTTTTTACGGACTTTGCCATTCTGAGGTGTTTTTTGTACTTTCCGTTTTTTCACTACTGGAGACGAATCTGTTTCTGATGACGTACTTTCGTTACGTTTCGCTCTTTTTGAAGATTTTTTACTATTTGTTGCTTTTTCTTTCAAGGCTTTCTTTTCCGCTTCCGCTTCTAAATAGCCATCTGGGTACTAACAGAATAAATTGTGTAAATATATCGTTAATAATAGTTTCGTCCATCACATTGTATCGATACTAACCACAATATTATATTTCTTTGCTTCCGGTTCCCATGGTGCCGGACTAGGGTCATCTCTCCGCAGAAGATACTTCCACACAATATACCCGGATAGACCTTTTTCGGGATAATATTTCACCACCTTGTAGATACCGTCGTATCTGTCGATAGAATTAGTAACGAACATTTCTAATATAAGAATTGCTAAAAATTTAGCGTATTATATTAGCGTAATCTAGGGCTTAAAATTACAGGTGTTCATTTTAAACATCCTTATATTATTTTTACCTACTTATAAATATTGGGAGAAGTTATCTTGTAATGTATTTACAATGTTTCAACTGAATTATTTCCAATAATTACCGTATTCCCTCCTTAGGTGCGTATTTCGGGAAATGTTTCAGCATCTTGCAGGATCTGACGACCCTCACTGGTTTTCCTCGTCTCCAATCATCCCCAGCGTCTCCACCGTCCTCACTCACCTTATCAACGGCACAATTGCGAGCCAGCGCTCTGAAATATGGAACAAAATTTTTTTATACCATATCCTCATAACAAACAAATTTTGGACAAAATTTATAACAAAAAATCACTGTAACGTAAGATTATAATGAAAAATATGAAAATAGATTGGCATACACATGAAATTACACCAAAAGTTTTGAAATGGTATATATTTGACAGCCAATAACAAACCAAATGCTAGGTATATAACTGTCAAGTTTATCAAGTGGAACATCAGATCAATCAAGACAAATAACTTCGGTGTAATAAAGCGTGGCAAAAGTAGAAAAAGTATGAAACTAAAGATCATTAATGTTGCTACACAGATGTATCTAAAGTATTGAAATCTTCTTTTAAACCCATATATGTTTTGTCGCATGAATACAAACTTATATGAAAAGCGAAAAGACATATTCTCACTTGTTCTCCCTCGTAAGAGTTTGATCACATGATTGTTCAGCGGTTCGTTTGTTTCCAGAAAGATTTCTTCCACCGCTACCAGTATATGTGAACTCATAGCCATTGTCAACATCATCTTCATATCCACCTATAAAAAATATCTATCATCACATATACACAGTAATAAAACATTATCACTAAGTTTTAATGGAGACAATTATCATAGTTTTCTATTTACTTTATATAGTTACTTCTACATTATCTTCGCGTTGTTCACAATTGTGTAACACGCGTTGAGATAGGGTGGCGTTAGTTAGTAATCCTAAGTGTATTCTACATTACAAATAGCCAATAGGACTCTATTAGATATTTACTAAATTATATCTTTTACTATTTGATTATCTGTTTGTCTTAACATTACCAACCTGATAACACTATACTGTAGGCTCCTTCAATGTCCCGGCCATGTATTCCGGAAACAGGTGGTCTGTGCACTCCTGATTCAGAAAGCTGTAATGTTTCAAAGACCATGTACATATACATATTCAAAAAATATATACATATATGTAAAATGTACATATTATATACATACTTGTATCCTAAATCTCCAACACATTCCAACTTCTATTCCAGGGATAGGACCAAAATGGTTTAAGGGCATAGGACAAGTTTTTGTTTTTCCTAAAAGTATATATAGATATCTTTAAGATTGTACTTATTTAGATCACAGACTTATTTACAACCCATAATATACATACTTTTAATGTGTGTATATAATATAGTAATAATATTATAAACAAACTTACCAACACATGCCATGCCTCTGCCCCAATCTCTGTTAGTCTTAGAAGTATTGGATTTTTTAGCTTGTTTGGATGCACCGGGTGCTATAACGTCATTTGGATCCCTCTTACATGATGGGCAATACCAGTCATCGTCTGGTAGTTCAGTTAGAGGAGGATTCAGACATACCATGTGGTAACCATTGTGGCACTCATCACACAGAATTATCTAGAAATAAAACATTAAGAACATTTTAACACACACATATATATGTGAAATGATTAATAAGTTTAATAACATGTAGTAAAAATATCCTATGATAATCACCTTATCTGGATCATTTTTTTGTGCACATAAATAACATCCACATTCCTTGCAAGGTTCTTCTTCATTATCTCTACATTTTAAGCAATTCATTGGTTTAGATCCTGTTAATACAAAATTATTATAAGTTACACTAAAATTGTTATTTATAAGTAACAATAATACAAATATGTACATACTGGGTGCCGGTGTCTCTTGTATTGATTTAAGATAATCCTCGGTTCTTTTTTCCAAAGGCACTGGTTCTTCAATAGCAAATATTTTATCATGGATTTTGACTTTAGTATCATTTTGTGGAACCGAGTCCTGACCGAGGTATAAAGTTCCAACAATCTCATAGCTTGTCCTCAATTTCTTTATTTCATCTACTTTGAAATCATACCTACAGAGATATATATTTCACAACAGTTATTGACATAATAAAAATCAAATTGAACACCAAATATTAATATGAATTATTAATTAAGTTTACATGATAAATTTTTTTCAAACAAAATCTTTTGTAATTAAACAATACAATGAACAAAATCAATGACACATCAAAAATCACATAACCTATAATTTATAAAAAAATTATAACAGTTAATATAGTGTAATTAATATATAATTATTAGCAAAATAGTGCAAATAAAATAAGATTCTCTAACACGAATGATATATGGATAATGTAGTTGAATGTACTGTTACATACCAATATCCTTTTTCCAATGGTTCATCAGTATTGTGATTTATCATGACCTTTTGTCCAGGCTTTAAATCTTTGACATCAATCTCATGCCGAGCTCTGGGTCTTATTTCTTTGAGCTTACAAAACAATTCAGAATCTTCTTCACTAAGAAATTTTACATTGACATTTAGATTACATTATAAAAACAAGAAGATATTATTAAATATTATGGAACAAGGAATAGAAAACTTACTCATCATCTAATTGCACCTTATACAAAACATTCTCTGCTGTAACTTTTACCGTTTTTTCTTTAAATCTCTTTCCATTGGTCTGTTTTGTAAAATATTTTGCAATACCAGTCTTTTGAGTGTTTGACTGTTCAGATATATTACTGGGTGGCTTGTTTTCAAGATCATTTTCACTATCCAAAGTACTGTTTAAATCTTCCTTGTTTTGTTCATTTTCATAATTTACTTTAGGATCTAGTACTATTCTTACTATTTTACCTTCTAACCAGGCACCCTGTTCTCGGTCTTTAATATCAACTAAATCTCCAACTGCATAGACTGTACTTGTAACATCTGTAGAAGAAGTTGGATATGCTTTGAATTATTCACATATTACATACATACTTTACTTCTTCTACCTTCTACCTGGCAATTTCCCAGCTATAGCCAGGGTCTGCCTTACTTGTTGTGAATAGTTGTGGCTAATTGTTTTTTACAACCGGCCGCCTGCATGACATCAACCCTCTATTGGGAATCAGCATTAATCAGTGATGTCTAAATATTCTTAGAAAGTACATATGACTCGGTAAAATCATATTGGTACTTGCCTGGGCCAGGAACCATCCCGCGCTCTCGGCAACGAGAGGTGGGCCCTCTAACCATTAGGCCACCACTGACTATGAACTATCTTAGTTATAAAAGTATAAAAAATAGATCATAAAACTAATGTTAGGCCTACCAATGTGTTTCTACAAATTATTTGAATATTCAACAGGTAGTATTGGTTTATTTTCATTTCTTAATACTTAAGAATTTTTCCACATATTTGTTTCAAAAAGAGCCTAATGTCCGTGATTAAAATATGTAGGTAAAATGATTACTGACTCTCAAAATTATAATGAGAAAGAGACCTATAAGAATTTAAATTATATATTTGTTTTCAAACCTAGTGGAAACTTCAGCAGCCAAAGTAAATATTGATAGATAGTTTTAATTAAAGATATAGTTGATTTTACCCGTATAAACTATTGTTTTCTGTTCAAGGTTGGATTCTTTTACTTGCTCTAGATTGTTAAGTGATTTCTTTTCATCTTCACTTTCTACAGTCTGCGGTACAGCAATCAGCTGAATTACATCATTTAGTTTAATGTTATAGTCATGGAATGTATAACCATCTTCAAGCTGGAAATTGTTTTTAAATGTATTAAAAATGTTATATTAGAATATTCACACACCACAATCAACACAAAACATGAAATATGTTTTTACAACTTTTAATGTTTATAAAAATTATGAATAATTTGTTAAAGTTCTTAATTTTTTGCTATAAAAATTGAATTACAATTTTTAAATTTACAATTTTATTATATATTTTGATTAAAGAATCCTTTTTTTAATGTAAATAACAAAACCGTTAGCCACCTGAAAAACTTTATTCCATTGGACAGGAAATTCAAGACAACAAATTAAAAAATATATTGTTGTTAAAATTAAACCAGTAGCTATAGCAGTATGATATATACATAATGAAATTAAGAGTCATATGTAGGTTATATATTAAAAAAATCAACACTATCAAATATAAATTGTTTAATTAACACTCGCAATCGCTTTTGTAGATATGGATATATAATACAGTTATTAGACATTTATAAATTTACAATAAAGAGTTTAACATTTCTATAATTAACAAAATAGCATGTTTTTGATGTAAATTATGATACAGTATCTTAGCTTAGCATTAAGAAGTTCAACTTTAATTTCTACATAGAAAGAAAGCTATAGTCATACCAGTTTTCCGCCGTAAAATAACCGTTGTAACTTGGGTTCGACATCAAATTTTTCTTTTATTATACGTCGAAACTGTTGCAACTTCGTAAGTTTTGATTCTACTACTACAATAGTATCAGGTTTACCAAACATGCGCACACGAACGTGCATCTTTATAAATATTCTTATTAATTTCGTGAAATTGAGGGCACTTCTTTTTCATTTGTGATTACTTTTAAGAATGTTAAAAAAGAGTTCAGTTCAGAACGCCGACTAGTTTAAATTTTATGACAATGTCATATTAATGGCGCGAAATAAGGTTGCCAGCTTGAGAGACAAAATAGGTTATATATTTAAAAAAAAACTATTTTCGATTATTTATATTAAGGTCACTCTCTGCATTTCTTATTTCATTTACGATTAAGAATCATAAACAAAAAATATTACAATTAATATTTTTTCCATTTATTATATTGAATACTACGCAATATTATATTGTAATCTGAAAAGAAAAATAAACTGTGAAATATCAATTTTGGAGGTTACTGTAAAGTTTTTGATAGGGGTCAATAAAATATTATACATGTGAATCCTGTTAGATGGTAGGCGAAAACAAAAAAAAATTAGAAAAAAGTCAATTCTGGTAAAAGAATTTTTTCTAAAATATAGTGACTGATAATGGGAAATGAATAGTAGAAAATGGAATACAGAATATATGATTTATAATAAAAACAGCATGATGCAGATGTTATTACGACTTTTATGAACAATGAAATATCAATTAATATGGTTATGGTATATTATTTTATGGTAGATGAAAACAACATCATATTACACTGTAGACTCAGTATATACAACGACTGTCTCTGTTATAACAAATTCAGAATCTTTTAATACAATACAATTTTATAAAATTAATTGGGATGTTTATTGAAACAAGATAACCTATAGAAATACACTGCCCAAATGTATATTGTATTTACAAGTTATCAAACAGGTTTAAACTTTTAATAAACTGTGCGATATTTAAGTACATAGATTTTTTTTAGTTAGGTACTAGGAGTACAGTATGTAATGAGTGATTGCCAGTGGCTACTAGGAGCTTATAAAAAGACTTTGAAATCATTTTAGTAAAGGGGATCCATTCCGAAATAAAAAAAAATAAAAATATTATATAGTATAAGTTATACTATGAAGCAGAATTCATTCGGGTTAAGGTTAATAACTATAACTATACGTTATAAAATTGATTGGACTCTTTAATTTACCTTATCGAATATATTGGAAACAAGTATTTTAGGATCTGTCGCTACTAATTGGCATAAAGGCAATAATATTTACTTTAGTAATAACTGCAGTGTTTGAAACATGCTATACTTCAAAATACTCTCATTATTAATTTCTTCCAACTTTATTTATGCAAGACATGCTTCTTTGGTAATTAATACATATATGGTGGCTTGGTTTTACTTATTTTTAACATTGTTTTGATTAAAATGATTGTTTAACAGCATCCGGTTCTGGTTGCGCGTTCATCTTTGGACTGGATGCCCAGTCGAGTGAACTCATTGTATTCGGATGTTGGGGCATGGAGTGGCAAATTTGTTTGTATTTGTTTATATATATTTAAAAATTTGTTTATTTTAAAAAATAACCGTAAAAAAAATGTATAATGTAAGTATACAACTTTTTAATCACAGAGGCCTGTAATGGACGAAATAGAATCAGACGAAGCATTAAGATTCTACCAATTTCTTAATTATCTAGATGGGGGAAGTTTTGGAACTGGTTACTTAATATTTTAATGTATTTTAATTTAATTTTTAATGCTGTTATTCTTAAAATAATAGTATTTTATTATTAAAGGTCCATTAGATGAATTTGTCGAGGCCATGAATCGCTTAAACACATATATGAAACAGCAAAACAGTAGAGAAACACAAGTTAGAGGAATGCGCGAGTTGGAAGCTATTAACGGAGAGAAAGGCAATATTTTTATATTTTAATGAAATATTTAGTAGGTACTTCTTCTTGATCTTAAATATATAATGTTTAGGTAACAGTATTAAGACTGTTCTCGAAGTGAGCACAGTAATTATGCGAAAAAAACGCAAGTTCTTCTGTACCGGTGAAGTTAAAGAACCAATTGTTAATAACAAAATTATTTGTAAGGTAAATTTTGTTAAATGAACATAGTAGCCTACAAAGTCTATTTAAATCTAATTACTAAAGAACTTTCTAGGATAGAATTTTACTACCTATAGCTGGAACATCTTGTAGAGATGCAATAATGTACTGGCATCCTGGATTAACAGAAGAGCATTATTGTGTAGGCGCTCTAGAATCCAAGAGTCCGGTCCATATAATGGATATTGAAGGTACTAATTATATGACTGGGAAAGGCTAAATAATTCATTATAATTTAATCGGTGGCTTTTTCAGGGGAAATGTTTTGCAAAGGCGACGACTACTCAAAGCGAGAATATTTATTGGCTTGTGATTTTTATGAAGATCAAGAAGCTCCGGTTGCCGATTTACTTCAATATTATCCTGATCCAGATCCTGAAATTTCACCTAAATTGTTTTAAAATAACAATTTCTTAAATATATAATATGCGACTAAATTTGATCTTATTCAAAATATATAGGAAAAAAAAAACAGTGTAATATTTAATTTTTTGTTTAATATCGTTTATGATGTATGCTGTGTCAGCGCTAAAATAATTTTTATCATGCTTAAAATAATACTTTTAAATAAAAGATTAAATCTAATAATTATAGAATTGTTCTATTGTCGAATTCTCATAATCTTATTAGTAGTAGGGTTTCATTTGAAATTATTCATATGAATCTTAAATTAATATTATAAAAAAATATGCTACACATTAGCAATGAATGTATATTTGATTATTTTATTTTTTATTTGAGCATAATTACTAGCGGTCTTCGGTACAAATATTACTTAATCTGTCGAATGACCTTTCACAATTGTGAATTGAATCTGTGCAATTTTATCTATAAAAAGTATACATACCTATATTTTTCTTGTTGTGAACAGAGAATAAGAATGGGAATAATATTGTTAATCTTTAAAGAATACTGAATAGTAAACGAAAACTCTGACATTACATAGCAATGTTTTGTTGAAATTCAGAAAAACTGCAAATTGAAAACTAATATTTTAAATTTTCACCATAAGTAGTTACCAATTTATTAATAGGTATGTAAAACTTATTGATACATATTTAGTATTTGCAAGTGTTTGTAAGCACTTTAATAATCAATATGTTTTTACAATAGCATAAAACTAAAATGTCTGAAGAAGATTTAGACAGGTGGGCGCAGGAGGGACAAAACAGAGGTAATTTTTTTAAATAAATTTTTATCATGTAATATATACATATTACTATTTTGTCAGTCCAAAGTTTATGGTGTAAAAAGCTATTTGAAACGTTTTAAAAAAAACTGAACTTTTTTATCGAATACCTCTTTTCTTTGTTGATATATTTTTCTTCAGTTACAACAACAAACTATTCTTAAGAAAATTTTTCGTTAATTTTTCACTGAGGAAATCCCCAATAATTCAATCTCACTTAATATTTCAAGTAAATATAATTTAATTCCAATTTGTTTTATTTTTTTGCTTACTTTGTTGTTCTTTGTTGATAGCATGTAAGAAATTGGCTTGTTCAAGATGAAGCCCATTTGTATGTACAGTATACCGTCAACATATTTTTAGTCAATATTAATTTTACCTATAAATTTTTTTTTACAGAGATGTATTTGTCAACGAGTTGTTCAAGTTTTGAAATGTTGGATCCTCATGATCCAATTATAAGTCGGTTGGCGACCAATCTCTTTAAGAAAACTAATGACTACTTGCAAGGAGAAATGTCAGCTGGGCAGGTGACTTTATAGAATGAAAATTAGTTTAAATTTATTTAAATCATCCTCAACCTATTCTATTATTCTATCCTTCCCTAATATTCTTCCTGCAGCTTTGTTTTTTGTAGAAGATGTGACTACTATTAATGTTATATGTGTACGAGTTTAATCATAGAATTGTTTTATTTTTCTCATTCAGACATTCATTAAACCTTTTAAAATTTTATACATTTCTTAAAAAGACATTTAGTTTGCATTTTAAAATAGCAAAGAATTGTGATAATTGTCTCAATGTTTAAGATAATGTGGATACAAATCTGTGCTTTTAATATTACAGGACCATTATAATCTTCTGGAAGAGATAAACAGATTAACCATCACCAAATACACAGACCTCAGAAACCTCACCGTGAACTTAAGCAAAACTTTAAGTGAATATAATGAAATGTGTAAGTAATTTTTTAATTGTTCTGTTTCTTTATTGTTACAAATATAGAATAATTAACAACAAAGTTAAATTTAGCTCTACAGATTTATTATAATTTTAGATAATACACTCATAAAGCCACTGCTGCTACAAATTGATGACATTGATGCTCAAGTATCACAATTTGAGGTAAATGCTTACCGTTTGGACAATTACACCAAACAATTGAAGGCACGCTTCAAGGAATTAGAAGAAAAGTAAATATAACTTAAAATGTCTATTGATATATTATATTATTTGTAGGTATAATATTTTCCTGTCAATGAAAGTAATAGTACATTATGTGTGAAATATGTATACAAAATACATTTTTTTAATGTACATGTAAATTTAAGTACTTGATATTTAAAAACAATCAATGAAATAATGTAAGGTGTTACTATTTTTATATATCGAAATTCCATAATGATGTTAATAATTTTAATATATTAGCAAAATGTAAGAAGCAATATTCATGATTGTTATTTTTGTTATATAATATATATTGGTTAATAGACTTTAGTATATAAACTAGTTGTTTTTCAGTTTGCACCCTTCATCTTGGTCCTTAAATTTTCTTTTTGTGTAACTTATTTCAAGTTATAAGCTGAATAATTTATTACAATAAAAGCATATAGCAACATATATACAACACACTAGATACACAACAGACCCTAGTCCAGTCTAGAAATAATATGATTTATTGAGTGAATAAATAAATTTTTGAGTTTATATTGTGTGGATGTTTCTCTGTTAACTACTAGGTATTTAGATATAAGAATACCATGCTGGTTACATTTTTGATTATGCTTTAATATCTTTCAATTTATTGATATAAGATACACAGCAAATATTTCAATAAATTTGAAAATATTGAGTGCTTCTGAAAAACTTATACTGGGATTCATTTACCATATATCCAGCGCCTGCACTGAAATGAAAGCAAATTTAACACCTTGACTGGCAGTTGCTTGAATTTTTAGTATATGAGGCTTGTGTAATGGCTTGAATACTCAACCAAGAGAAATATTTTTTTTTATCTGGAAATTTCGTATGCTGCCAGCCTGTATTAGAGATTTTATCTTGTTGTTGACATTTCTACGGACTTATGAGCGTGGTTTACAGCCCTGGACTATATATTTCAAATGAAAACCTGTGAAATACTCTAACGATTTTAATATGCTAAATTAAAATATATATCAAGAATTATACTTTTACATTGATGGTAGATGTCGATGTTAGAACTATTGATATCTGTTTTAACTATTATAGATTAACTACTATTAACTGTCATGACATCTAGGGACAACCAATAACACTTCAAACAACAAAATGAGAATATAAATATGTTTAAAATTAACTTATGCATGAGTGATTATAAATTTATGATATATAGGCATATAGGTATTATTATGGCCAGTGCTTTAAATGGTTATTCTATAATGAAACTAGAATATGTAATCTACACAACCACTATGCTTATAATTTGTGCCTTAATATTGTAACACATTAGATAGGTTGTATATATATATATATCATACTATATTACTATCTATACATATGGGAAGGTGTATCTATATATGAGTGTGTTTCTATTATAGTATCGTTACTATTGTTATCGAAGATTTATGAATAATAAACATTTAATGTATCGATGTTCGCGTTTGTCATAAATAACTGGTGTAAGTCCACGTACGAGGCTATTACCTAGTACGGACATTTTTGTTATCAAACACTCGATTTTTGCGTAGCTGGTTCTAAATTACAAGATCCTGATAAAAAAGAACCTAAAAATTTTCTGAACGATTTGTCTCCCACGATTGTGAAAATGCCACCGGATTTAAATTCCTTGATGTATAAAAATATTTTTCTATATATACTCATACGTAAGTAACTGAAGCTTGTCGATTCTTTCGTTAAATTGTATAAATTTTTGGACATAACAATCCTGATTACGAGCAGTGAGGAAATATTTTATAACTGTTGGTTTATGACCTCACTGTTAAGAGATTGCTCTGTAAAAATGTTGATTACCTAATACAAGTACTTTTTATTAATAATGTATATTTACAAATTATAGTGACACTTAAGATATTTTGTAAGCTTCATTCTGCTTCATCTGTAGATTTAATCTCATCTTTTGTTAAAAAACTCTACAGATGTAACTTATCACGAAATTTTAAAACTTCTGCATCTTCTTACCAATTTGAAATCTAATTTAGCGTAATTTTATACAAATATAATTATGAATAAATTGAAATGTTTATTTGATCTCCAGACAAGGTTACAACTAGAAAAGAAAATTGTGTTAATCTACTCAAAATATGAATTATGTTATATTTGGATTAGATGTAAAGTGATTGTAATAGCTGCATCGGTCTTATGGCTGTCGTCAACAAGTGTCGGCTATAAGATATATTTTATTATCATAAATATACGATACCTGTATTACTTTTCAATCCAGCTTTTAAGAATCAAAAAATATAGGTATATGTAAATAATAATTTTGAAAACCAGAAAAAACTATTAGGTATCCTTAATGTTTCAAGATGGCGTTAGGTGTTAGTAAAATCGGATAAAAATATTTACGAATAGCTATATTTGTATATATATCTTTAATGATTATACTTTAATTAATTTGATAGACATTTATTTTCCTTATAAAATATCACTTATAGATACTGATCACATATGCTTTGCATCGGCAAATATATATCGATATATAGTGAGTTTTAGTAAAAGTAAATGCCTTGAAATTATTTTTGTTAAAATAAAAAAGATTTCAAGGACCTTTTCTGATACTAAACTGTAATAGTAATGAAGTAAATTTTAGGAACAATATTTTTTTAACTTTTAAGGTTTTAGATCCAATACTTTTCTGATAAATACAGGATCACATCTTCTAGTTTTCAGTTAAGTGAATTTAAAGATTCACAAAATTTATCTAACCTAGATCGTGCCATCTATATTCTATCTTATTTATGAGGCATTCTACTCAATTTGAAAATGTATTCTTAATAGTTAGTAGGTACTACTTTCTAAGGAAATTATTTCTATGCACTACACGGGTTTCTTGTGAGAAGATTCCCGTTTAGTAGTAGCTCCAACTCCTTCATCCTCCATGAACATGAAGTGAAAATAAAAAAAACTCATTTATGTATTTTTGAACGTTTTTATAACAAGTATTAGTTTCCAATAAAATTTTACAAGTTCCTTTTGTACAAGTACGGAGAAATCTCCGCATATTGAAACTTAAAGGCATTTGAAATATCTGTGGCATATACTGTGGATAGTGCTTAGAAGGATTTAGGGTTTCTTTCACTAGCGAATGGGCTTGCTTTCCCAAAGAATCTGTCCATCCGTGCATCCATCATCGATACGACACCGATGTTTCTATCCTAAACCTAAACGGAGTTTTAATCGCAAATGAGCAAAATCATTACGATACAATGGAAATTATCTAGGAATATAAATCTGAATATTATAATTATTTTAACTTTTATCTGGAAGCATACTATAACGCAGAAAGGGTTAGAATGGCTTTGGCATAACAAAATATATTATTTAATAATTATTAATATTTTTTTACGAAAATAACAATTTCCCTATGAATACATTTCAATAACATAATATAATTGATATATTTACATAACTTTTCTATTATTTTACAATGGCGGTAGAATATCAACAGATTAAACTTTTAAATATTTTAACAGTATTTTATATTGGATCAAATAATTGTGTGCAAACATTTGAAATTTTTGTAACATTTATAATATTAGCTATGGTAAATTGTAAATAATACGGTCAAAAAGTGATCTAAAGAGGGAAGATTAAGAGGAAGTATCGGAGAGGAAATACGAAGCTACAAGTTGGGAATATAAAATAACAATCGCCCGAGGGCCCATACAGACGAACTGCAGCTATCTGCACGCGCGGTTTGTAAATGCGCGCCCGCCTCAACACTCCTCTCGAAATTCGATAGACACATATTTTTTAGGCCGTGCTACCATTTCCCGTTCCGGAGGCTATGGAACTCCCTAATCTTAATATTGAATTGAGCAGTTATTAGATGAACGGACGAACAGATTGACTACAACCCTGAAGTAACTACTGAATCCTAACTAATAATTAATGAAACATTTGTTCATTCTCTAGGGCGTATAAGTTTAAAAGCTTTACATTCTTAAAAGTCTTCACAAATTGTATAACTTACCATACACTATACTTTTCATCAATTAAAAAGATAATGTTTTATTATCTCTTATCACTATAAATTAAATATATATTCTAAATGTGGGAACAAAAATAAACCACTATCTTATAACAAGTATTGTGAATCGTGTTTTCTAGGTTATTTTGTTTTGCACTAAATAAATACAATATTTTATTTCATCAATTCCCGCAACTGCAATTAAACTGTATGTGTCCAATGTCAATTATTATTTATTTATCAATAATATTTTATATTGTAATTACAATGTTTCGGTCATTTTAGATATGACTAATCTATAATTAGGTATAACAATAATAATTGTGAGTAAAAGGAGAATAAAAACATTCTTAAAATAATATAATTATGTATAAAAAATCAACAATACAATAAAGTCACATCATGTATTTACATCGTTTTTATACACTTCAGTGACAATAATCATTGTCGTAAGCAAAATGTACTCTCGTCGTACCCATTTTATATTATTCTAACTTTAGTTGGCATTTGACCCGTACTGTGTCCTGTGTCCCCTACAGTGCCAGATACAGTGGCATTATATAATAAGAACAGTAAGTCATTTCCTCACATTATTGCATACTTCCGCATCGAACTCCGCTTTAAAACAGTTCATGATTAGTCTTATTACTTTCTGATTATTGTAAAATTATTAGTCTAATGAAAAAATATTCTATCAAAACAACTTACATACATACATTCAAACATTTAACTATTAATAACAAATGTTAATTTTGAGCAAGTACCTTGGTATTTCTTGAGATATTTATTTGCGCAATTTACTTTTACATAAATATATTGTGCAAAAATTATAATCAGTTTGTTTAACAACTCTTATAATGTAGCATTATACATATTATGTACTCCGTAGCCTCACTTTCAATAATATAAACAGATAAATGAATACGTGCCTTGTTTTCGTCTGTATAGGACGTACAAACACATTCCCGTTTTGTTAGGGACCACTGAAGAAGATGACTTATCATTTTTATTATAATTAGGTTATTGTAAATTTTAGAATCACTATTGTGTGCATATTGCATACTGTTAGTTGGCCCAGGCACAAGAACGAGCTTGTTACGTCGCGCGTCGCCACCATTGCTTTCTAGATATATTCAATAAATCTACTATATCTTTTAATATAATGAATTAACATCATCTTCGCATACTTATCAGTTAACTTTATTAATATCTGAAGCTTAATTTGTCTCGTAAATCGTCACACGACTCTCAATTAAGCCTTATCCGAAATCTGCTCAAAATCTTTTCAATTTTGTATAATTATCATTATTTTTAAGTAAAATTTAAGACCTAATTAAAATGGGTACAAGAAACCGATGGCACTTTATACGGTACCTAAGTATGTTTTATTATGTAGGTTCGTCATAAAATGACAGACTAAACAACTATATATTAATTTACGCCGTGACTTACATACTAATTTCGTTTTATAACCTAATCACATCAATTTAGAACATTTGTTGTGTGGTAGTGATAGGGGCGCGGCCCGCCGTTTGACGCTTGAGTCCATGAAACAAGAAGTTGGCGGCGGCCTTGATGGGCGCGACTAGGGGCGCACGCGCAGCGGTCTCCCATTGTCAGACGTTGCCCGTGGCAGGGAACCGGGGCGGAGGCAGTGGAGGCGGCGGCCGAGCCTCCCCCGCCACCGAAGACTGCTCCGACACTGAACAAGTAGCACAGCCTTGTATTATATCTCGAATGTCAAAAATCACTCGCCATAACGCGGACATCGATACTGTTGTATTGGGTACATTCCATTACAGTACATGCAATGTAATCGCAAATTAACTGAATATATCACTGTAAATGAAATATAAAGTAATTCAATTTTGATTTAAATATTATGTCTAATAATGATAAGTTTAGAAATTTAACTTTGTTAAAGTTTTCTCATCCCATAGCACTTTCGGGAAACAAGCAATTCGTAAAAAAAAATATGCAGTCTCGGAATGCACTAAACACCCTAACATCGCGAATAGGGTTATGTTGAGCGGAAGGATATAAAGGGGATGTAATTATATCGACACATAAGCAAGCAAAACAAATAAAGTACCATATGTTTCAAACACGTGGTAGAATGTTTAAAATGATGTTGATATACAGTGCCTTGCAAATTGCTGATAACCTGAAAATGAAGGCACACATGGGAGGGTGTTTAAAGTAAATAGTGAAAACACTATAATATCGAGTTGAAAATCACAATGATAATAATGTAAACAGAACGCTTGATAAGCGAGTAGTTAAGCTCTTACGTGAATCGTGTTTTTCATCGACGGGAGCAGGCGGCGGTGGTGGAGGCAGCTGTTGTTCGAGGGCGTTCACGCAATTCATCATGCTTCCATACAGCCGGCTGTCTCGGAAACTGTCCCTGGACATACGTCACACACCCATCACCACGCGAACACCCCAACCCCCAATTTCAACGTCCAGTTCGCCACCATTAAGGTTTTCATTTTATGTGATTTTAAAACACGTTCGGACACTTGGTGATTCTTCGTATTGATTGTTTCTATTATTATAAGTTACAACACTCTATACACCTATAGTCTAATATATTGAACAACCCCAGCAATATTCTGTAATTGTTTTTATATTTGGGTTACTTGGCTAAAATTTCTTTTATTTTTTATAAATGTTTCCATCATTTTTATATATATTTTTTTAAATCTTTCTGTGTACTTCTATTTTATTTACGACACAAATTATGAATATAAAAAAATATATTATTTATCCGCGGAAGTATTGAAGTTTATATAATTATAAAATTTTTATATAGTCAACTTTTGTAATGTATACTAAAAACAGTCACATATTTTGAAAACACGTGCATAGCGTGCTAATGGCTATGATTTAAAATCACGTTGCAGAAGGTGCTTCTTAATAAGATAGCGGTTGGTGGACAGAAAACATGATCTTCCGTGGAGGTTTTCGTTAGGTGCGTTTAGGGTTGAAATGAATAGTAATAAAATGTATATATATCATGTTAGTATTTTACCTTCCATTAGAATTTCGGAACAAAGCGAGGATCTCTTCGAAGGTCTTGTTTTTGGTTTCAGGAACTTTTTTATACGTAAAAATCCAAAAAATTGCAAGGAATACGCTAAAAGGCAGGAATGTATAGTTTTCCAATAGAGCCTGTCAAAATACAATAAAATTTAAATAATTTTGCATGTATTGAGTATTTATTAAATTACATAAAAATTATAATCCCCACCTTCATACTAGGAAAGCCAATTCCGACGACGAAATTTGCCATCCAATTCACTAACACGGCGATGGCCATTGCACTTGGTCTTGGGCCTTGAGAGAACAATTCAGCGGTTATCAGCCAAGGAATAGAGCCCGGTCCGACGGCGAAGAACACGACGAAACTCAACGTTGAAACCACTGATAAATAGCTCATCCAATCTATCATTTCCTGCACATAGCCAAAAAACTCCTATCAGGGGATAGCAATGATGCTCTTTCCCATTACCGACCGGAATAGAAATAAATCACAAACATAAATGCCATCACACACTTGTCAGTCTGTGTTTGTCGACTTTGGTCGCGATGGTTGTTCCTGCTTCGTTTTACACGAGCAATAAGACTTTAAGCACTTTGAGCCTTCATCTACGTAGTGCTATTATAGCAAAGTGAAGTATTCTTTAGTATTTTTGGCTGTATTGCGTATGCTTAGTGAAATGTGCCTTCTGCTTTTGAGCAGTGTTGTGTGGATAATCTCGCTTCATTTAACGCGTGCGCCAGAGCTCTTCGTGAATCTAACGCGTTTAAATGACTTGTATCATGTTATAAACAAAAACCGTGTAAGGTGCGTTAGTGAGTGATGTTCCTAACATTTATATTTGAAAATTTATTTCACGATTAAATTGCTTTCCTATTGGGATTTCCGGATTCGGAAACAGGAAAGTCGAAGTTTGGGGAGGACATCTAGCGAAGCAAAGCAAAAAAAAGGTTGTGTGGGAGGAATAACAAAACAATATGTATAACTTTACAATTTAAGAAATAGATATAACTTACGAACAAGTTTAGTTATATTAAATTACACAGATTATTCAGATACAGTTTCAAAAACTACCACAAAAGCTAAAAAGAGGTCGAGGAAAGTGAATGAAGGCTGTGATTCAGAAAGATTGGTAAAGCGTGCAAAAAGCAAAATCAGTGTAAAAATCTAAATTACATTGACACCTTGATTTTGTTTATATTCAAGGAGTCAATAAAAGAATCTTAACTAAAAATAATCTACAAGTATTAGTAAATTATATATTAAGCTATCTAATTATAACTATCTATAGACGCAAAATTATTTGCAGTTATTAAGATACAGACAAACTGAGACAGAAACTAGAATTACAAAATTAATTGATCCTACTTGAACTTTTTACGTTTGCAGTAGTTTAAAAGTTCTTAAACACTTACACTGAAATAAACACAGATAACACACGTAGAGTCACGTCATATAAACGTTATAATATAAGACACACCTTTATTAAGAATGAGATGGTGATGAAAATGGAGAAGATAAACATCCCGCCGAGGCCGTAGAGGTGGAGGGTGCGGCGCCCCGTGCGATCCATAAGTGGCAAGGATACCAAGGTCATGCCCACCATTATAGCACCAATGCCCATAGTAGCAAACTTTGCAGATTCTTCCGTTAAGCCAGAGGATGTAAAGAGCGATGTCGAATAATAGAACACCTGAGACAGTATTAGCCTATATTATGATGTTCCTTAATTTTTATAAAACATTATAAAAATATGTGTGAAAATTAAATATCTCGATTTAGCAACTTTAAAACTGACATGGATATGCATGGTAACATTAACAGACTTAAATTTTTTTCTTACGAAATTTATACCTCCATTTACGAGATAAACCCCATGATAATTAATAAATAAACTTAAGTCAACACTAAGATCTTTGTGCTACTTAATCCGTGCTCAAAAGATTTACTATATAAGATTGTATACAAACAGCATTAATTCCGCTAAGCTGCTGGGACAATTGCATTACGACGCCGATAAGCAGTGGAGCACGCAGGGTCGGTGAACAGAGCAATTCCCTCATTGATATAGATGCCTCCGCTTGCTGCGCTCTCTCTTCAGCCCGCATTTCCTCAATATCCTCTTCAACCTTGATATAATAAATACGAAATATATAAAAAATGTAAATATAATGAAATGACATTTTTATTATTTGATAGTGTTACAATTTATTTAATTGTACCTTATGTATTAAATAACAGTAGATACACTTTAACCTATTCTAATTTGTTTAGCTAGTCAAGACAACGAACGGTGTAGTTTGAGTGCTTTAACAAGTAATTCAACTTTCTTTTTGATTAAATAAATTGAATTTGAAGGAACTTTTAGCTTCTAACAGAATCTTTCGTACAAAGGTATCTTAGGTTTGATTAAAAGATAAAGGAACAAAAGTAAAATAGTTTTCCCAGAAGCGTGTAGAAAATCCACTTAAATGGATTGCTTTCAAAGAAATAAAATTCAATAAAGGATATGAGAAAACATTTGATATATGACATATAAAAATTCTATTTATTAACGCACTTGGTTGCTAGCACGGAGTCTTCGTAACGCACGCCTTGCTTCTTCTTCCCACTGACGAGTAATTAAAAGATATCGCGGAGATTCGGGACAGGCAGGTAAAAGGAGAAGCTGTAATATAGCAGGACATACAGCCAAACCTGCAAATTATTGTGCGTCTCAGAAACCTGATGAAATTTTATCAGAAGATTATGAACACTCTAGGTAGTTTTACTATGGAAGAATACCGAGAAGAATAGGCCATCCATCATCAGTGCCAAGAATTTGCTCGATCCCGAGTACTTGCGATAGCAGCAATCCGACGGTGACAGCGAGTTGGTTAACAGTGCCTAGGCCTCCACGCAGGTTCAGCGGTGCGATCTCAGATATGTACATTGGCACAAGCGATGTATTTAAGCCTGCATTGTTATGAATATTTATTCACTTTTATGTTTGTAAAAGAACTGTTTTAAAAATATAATTAGTGTTATTCAATTCATCTTGCCATTTTTCTAAATGTTTATTTATATGGATATAACTTTCGATTATTTTGTATGACTTATAAATATTAAATATCTATGTTGAGCTATTCACACTTAAGATATCATTGAAGTATAATTATAATCGAAGTGGCCTCTTTAAATATGGCATTTATTAATTTGAAACACTAATCAAATAATAAAGACTGTTACCGCAGTTGACGCCTATAATGAATCTACCGAAAAAGAGCATTTCATAACAGTGAGATATTTTTGTGAAGCCCATTAGACTGGCACCGCCGATGCCGAGGATATTGTTGAGCAAGAGGCCTCCTTTTCTGGAGCAAGAACATTGAAACAATTTCATTCAAGTCGAAAAAAAAATATTTCAACAATTTTTTTTTTAACAAATATTCAACCTTCCAAATCGATTAGCAATCATCCCTCCAGAGAATCCACCCAGCATACCACCGATAGCGAAAATGCTGACCGCTATCGAATACAGCCTATTCACCGTGTCCTCGTGGATATCTTTGCCATAGCGATCTTTGTAGACATCCTTCATAAAGTTCTCGATGTTCTGAAATATCACTTACGTATATTGTTGTTTTTTTTTAACAAGCGTCTTCAATGTTTTTTTATTCATTCAAAACATTCTCATTACATGGTGTTTAAGAAACAATATCAGCCCTGCTGATTGAAAATTTTAAAATACTATTAATATCATTTATCATACTCTGCCAGGAGCGTTGATGACACCAGTGTTGTAGCCAAACTGCAACATCCCGAGTACCGCGGCCAAAATAGCGTAGGATAAGAAAAACGTAAGACCCTGCAAAATTTTACTTTTATTATATAACAGACCAAAAAATTAGAATTACTGAAACTATTAATGAAATGATTTAAATTTGATAACGAATCTTTATAATCAAATTTTCCTATTTGTAAACCGATTCATTTGAAATTATAAAATAAATTCAGTTGAAGCACAAGCGATACTGTTATCAAATATTATATTTCCAATATGTAATTACTGTATTATTCGGTACTTTTACAAAGATTCTCAATAATTGTATAATTTATGGTATATTAATTAAAACACATTTTTATTTTAGTGTAGTCAAGTATTTAATTATAAAGTAAAATCCTAAATTCTATTATTTGTGTACATAATTAATTAAGTAACTGCTTATAGCTGGTGTGTATTAAAATTTCAAGAATAATAATTCTTATCATAAAATAATTACATACTGTTAAATATTTATTCTTCTACTTTTACCTGCTCAAGCAACCTAAGTTTCCGTCTTTGCGAGTGTTCTTCGAGTCTGTCCACATACTCTCGTAGTTCTTCTATTTCTTCCTTCACTTGTTGCACGGTATCCAACTCTTGCTTGATGGCCACCATGTCGCGTTTAACCTTTCAATATATATTTTTTGTTTGTATTTAAAACGTTTCAACTTACATATAATGAATATAATATTCTATCGCCCTACCTCGGAAACTTCACTTTGGCATGATTCTACGCTCTTTGTGAGTTCCTGGAGCTGTGAACGGATTTCGCATAGAGCGACCGTTGTCTCAAGTTGACGGTCGCCCCTCTGCAGCTCGTCCAGCTTGGCAGACAGATTCATGCTCATCACGCTCACCTGTCTCTGAAGGCTGGGTGACAAATAATAAACTTATCAACTTATTCATGTTCAGGTCAAAATTATCACTTGTTACATCTATTATAATAGTTTAAAAATGTTTTTCCTATAATGATTTAAATAAAGACAGTAAATTTTTAACAATGTATAACTTTCTATAAACAGGAAGCAAGAGTTCGTTTTCCATTCGGTTAAAGAATAAATTTATAAGCCTATGAGGTAAATCAGATCTTAAACAATCGAATATTTTTCAAAGTGTTATTATCTAACGTGAATAACGTTATGAATAATATCATGTAAAATTATATGGAATCAAAGGTACAAGGAATCAACTTTACAATTAATTTTATTGCAAGTAAAAATATTATTACTTATGCCACATACTAATTGGGTACATAGGGAAAAAAATAAGACCTGCCCTAGTGATGTATCGTTGTATGATCAAAATATCACATAGTGAGTGACGTTGCTGAATTTGCGCCACTCAAATCCTCATATTGACACCTCATCGTCGGAAATAAGGTTTCCGACACTCCATTGGAAATATAAAAACATATTTATCTTAACACCGGAGCAATAACTTAGGCTTAGTTTAAGGACAATATGTTCTTATAAGTTTTAGAAATATGTAACCGGCACCTAGATGTCCAATCTGTTGAGAAAGAATATGCACTCTAAGCTTTATAAAAGTATGTAGCCGTAATTTGTAATTATACAATTCTATCGGTTCGTAAAGTTAAAATTAAAGGTAACCTATATATATTTGTCGTAATAGGCACATGCATAAGAAATTTTAATTCAAAAGTAGATCTATTTCATATTTTAAAAAAAACACATTTTTTTTATAACGTATGAAGAATGTACACTCAAAAGATTTCTTTATTTTATTTTAATTTTTTATATGAAGAAAATTTATACGTTCTTTCTAGGCGTGTTTAAGAATGAAATATTTATATATAATACTTTGATTATTCCCTCAAAAAATGAATTGACGTTTAGTTATTAAATATTTATTGGGATCCGTTCCACAAATATCAAAACTGTCACAAAGCGATCTTGCTTGCTGATACCATCCTCTAAACTAGAATATCAGCACTCAAGATAGCCAATTAGTGTCTATTGTTCATCTTTGTTATATACGTAGTTGGGATAACAAAGTGAATTATTGATCTAATGTGAGCCACAGTGGCATGAGTTGACAGCTATGACAATTATACAACAGAATGAATTATTACAACAATATTAATATTAATGTGTCAATATAACGCAGGGAAATGTAGGGACCTACAGGTTAACGGACCTTATTCTATAACTGCCATAAATTCATTCAAAATACAAAACTGTAACCTTAACTTTATACGGTTTGTATAGGTTTAAAATAATTATTACATCCTTTTTTTGGATTTAATATTTTTTATGACTGATTTATATGTTTCCCTCATTTCCCTTAATCGATTTATAATTCAGTATACCTACTCATCTGGATAAATAAATCCCTTTGCAAAACATATTTCTAACTTGAAAGATGAAGAAGAAATCACAAGCATCCACAAGAAATGTCAAACATGAAGTAGGATATGTTTCATGCGGATGCAGATAAATTAATGAAATAAAGCGTTAATTGAAGATCTGACTCGATACAATAAAATTATTTCCTAAAGGTGAAATTTGAAGATTGATTATTTTGGCACATTCAGATATGTAAAATTAAAAAGGATCATATAAAACTTTAATTCTTTGGTAAAATATTATATTTATAACCTGCTGGTACCCGCTACTAATTCTGCGTATAAAATAAAGAAATCTTTTAATCGCCGCACATGCTTCGCCTCCCACTAGTGTGTGGTAACGCTTTGGATCGTGATAAAATGTAAACTAAATTACGCCTTATTCCATCAGCGACCTGCCAATATAAGTCTCGTTAAAAAGACTAGCCGGAACAAACAGTCAGACAGACAAATAGGCAAATTGACAGACAAAGATTGAAAAACAATAATAATTTAGTATACGTGTCGTATATATATTCATAAGCATGTAGTAAAAAACTTTTTTTTCTATATTACAAACAGAAACTCTAATTTGATTTATATGTATACATCCAAAAGTCAGAAGTGGTTCATGTAATCACACAAGACTGATTTTCCTTTATAGTACCTATAGAAAAATAATATATAGTACCTATAGAAAAATAATATATAGTACCTATAGAAAAATAATATAATTGCTTTTTATCGTGAAAACAGCAGAAAGGTTTTAGGTCTCATAGAAAATAGTGAAGTGGCCATAGTGATATTAAATATAACAACTTGACCCGGTTGCAACGATTTATTGAAATACGTGAATTATTTCTCCTATTCATTGTTTACTTATAGGACCCCTTGCCTATAATTAAAATAATTTACGAAGGACTCTTTCAATCCAATCAAAAGGCCCTAAAACTAAATTTAAAAATAATTTAAGTTTAGCTATTAAAGACATATGTTTTACTTTACTGAACATTTATATAAAGGTAAATTTTATAGTAGTCTAAGCGTGCGTTGTGCTTCACTAAGGTTAAACTGGAGCAAAGCTTCTCGTTAAAGTTAAACACAACGAGGTCGCTGACAATTATAGTGAATATTCGAAAAATTTGATTCACTACAAGACAAAAAACGTAAACAAACAGGGTCTTCGAACATTAATATATGTACAATTAAACTAATTATGATATGAAATATACACAAAATAAAAAAAACTACAAAAAATCACTGTTTTACCGGAATATTAACAAGGTAAAATATCATAAGAACTAAAGAAGGTAAAAGTTGTGACCAAAACAGATATGTACTTGTCAAACACATTAAAAAAAGAAAAATACTTTGAATTACACGTCAGTGTGCGTGGAGCAGTTATAAAATTCTTCTGACTTTTTGTTATAAAAGGGTTTTCCATTTCGCTATTTTCTGTAGTTGTCAAAACTTAAGCAAACAAAACTATTACTAATTTTGTCTAGGTCATATAATATACCTACGAGTACTAACAAAAATATAAATTATGTAATTCTTCTGAAGTACTCCTTTTCTACATATGTTGTAAAAGTATCAGTGCTATAATACAATATTTTGGAATCACATGGTAGAAAAAAAGCAGATCAAAAATAGTGACTCCATTAGAAAAATGTCGCCTTAAACATTTTCTATTTTAGCCATCTTTACCAAGTGATTCTTTTTATAAATTAGTTATAATATCTTAAAACTCATTGTAAATTAAACATTTAACCTACCTTACTAAAACTCATTTAATTTTCTGTGATGATCTTTTTAAACTTTTCCATTGATGTGTCAATAATAATAATTAAACACTATATTTGATTTGAAAATTTATTTAAAAAAAATTTTTGTGTAAATATTTAATTGACACAGTACTTTCAGTATTTGATCTTATATTTTTCTTAGTTTTGTTAATCTTTTTATTGCACTTAATATCAGTTATAATTAAAGTGTATTGGTTTAATGCATTGATATAAACCCAATAAACATATAAAAAGCTGATTTGATGTGGTAACCATTGACTGCAAACCTATCCTTGACATTTTGAGGCCAGTTATCAATGCAGTTTGAATTCTTTCTAAGTTAAAATTCTTCACTTCTATCATATGGTTTGTTTTAGGAATTCCAAATATTCATGACGTTTAGAATAATTCTTAACTTCTAAGCCTTACCATAAATCATAATCCAGGAGATTAAGATCAGAACTCGACGATGGCCAGTTTTCATTTCTGATAAAGTCCGGAACGTTCATTTCTAACTAAGTCTGGTGGGATCGACCTTTATGACCAGGAACTGAGTATTACTGAAAGGAACATTCTCAACTTTAAACATTGTGTTGTTGAAGGGCTCAATTACCTTCTCAAGAATGCTATCTTTATAAACCTGTGTAGATGTTTTGATATCTTTTTCAGAAAAAAAAGGTACAGCCACTCCTTCATATCTAACACCCCATTAAACCATCACCGAAGTCGGATAATGCATAATTTGTACTTTGTAAACTAATTTGAAATAATCTAGAGTTTTTAGAATAAATACGGCCATTTCGTTTGTTGATGTGGCTCAAATGCTAAAAATTTCCGATCCGTAATCAAAATATTTCTAGGAAATCCTTTTGCTTACGAGGCTGTAAGTACTTGTTTAGTTGATTTGATTATATCCTCCTATCTTTTTTAAAATTATCAATGAAGGAATTCCCAGTATATTCCTTGTCCCTTATAGGTTCAAGATGTTATATTATAAAAAAGATTTCTGAGATTTCTTTCTTTTACTGCTTGGGCCATGTGGACACCTAGTAAACAGCAAAATATTTTTATACACAATCACAAACAGACGAGGATTTAATGATCCTACCAGTAATCTAATACACAAATATTTGATTAACACTAAGATTCTAAAAACTATATTTGGCTCCATACCAACACTGTATAATGTAATGACGGTTTATCGGTTCTTTTATCACTCCAATCTAATTTAATATCATAAGATATGTATATTACAATATATTAAAAAGAAAACTTACTAAAAAAAGTAGAAAAATGATTGACACAAATTCCAAAATAATATATTTATATGTATAAAAGTATAAAAAAGAAATTTAATTTAATGAAACTTTTAAATCACATGTATTTTAAATTCCGTTTCCAATTACGCTTCAAAACGCCAATAATTGCCACGTGACCGCCGTGACATTTCATTTCCGATACGATTGCAAGAAATATAAAGCATGATACAAATATAAATTTTTCCGAATGGGTTTATTAGAAATATAAATCCTACATTTTGTATCGAATTTCACTCGATTCACTAGAATATTTCTGATGACAAGAATATTTATAACCTTATATTTAATTCTAAACTAATATAATGATATATATTGTGCACATGGTATCGCCCGCACTAAATTTCGGATGAGGCCTATCTTCAGTTTAAAAGGAAATTATATGATCTCGATTAAATTATATTTTATAATTTTTCTTAGGCTGTT